TGTCCAAATCATATCTTCTTTTTGCTTGATGATAAACATTACTTGGCAATCTTGTTTTAAAATTATAGATTCTCAATCCCAACCTAAGATATTCTGAATCAATTCATTCAAAGAATGAGGTTTTTGAATCTACTTTTTCTTAAATAAGGCCCCCATATAATCATATGATCAGGAAAATATAGTATGTTATTCTGACCTATATCTCAGAGGATAGATAGTATAGATCCTGGAACTTATGGAACATTCAAGAACTATTTTATATTAACTTATTTACATTTAAAATGAAAATGAACAAAAATAATTGCAAAACTTTAAAGGCCCCTGTGGTGACTAGTTTTACACTACAGAATCACAAAAACAGTACTATCAAGGAGTTCACAGATATTTCAATGGCTTCTTTTGCAGGATATCAGTAAATACTGTAATATAATCAGCTCATTGGTCTGTATGTGGGTATCTAAAGTCTTTTCAAAATGGTTTTTGCCAGTAGGTGCCAAGTTCTTCCCATATAATCATTTATTAGAAAAATTACAAGTGAAAGGAGTGGCTGAGGGTAAGACAGTATAATCTTATACAAACCAGTAACTACAATGTACCTAATAAGTAATTGGAAAAGCAATAAATACGTTATTTTGCTTGATTGTTGTGTTTTTCTAAGTGCATGGTTTTATATTTTATATTCAATTGAATGGCAAGTGGATATGTCAACCTAAAAACTATTAATATTTTCTATCAGTATTTTTTCTTGGATATTTCTTAAAATATTCACTAATTTAGCTGAATGCCATCTTAAAAATTAAGATTCTTCTAGCCCTGGATAAGATTTGTTATTTTAATTATCTGCCATTCATCTTTGTAACGCTTGTTGTTTTTTAAATTATTTCTAATTATTTTTCTTTATATTGACCAAAATACACTAAAAGATAAGCAGTGACTCCTCAGATCTAACTAATTAGCTGTGTTTTATAAAACCAAGTACTTGTGTGCATCAGGATATTGTGGAATCTTTTCCAACTTGCTGCCATATTACAGAACAAATGAGGGGTGCAGAATGCTAAACTGACCTTTGTGTACTGCTTCACAGCTTACACTGGGTTTTCCTGTCTGTCTCTCACTGGAGTATCATGGCTGCTTTGTAAAGGAGAGGACGCTGCTTCATTTGTTATGGAGCTGTTAAGGAGACACTATGGGCTCATCCAGAGAGATCCACTTGATCCCTATGTACTTGCAGTGATGTTTCCGTTCAATGTCAAACAATTCGGAAAATGTATTTGCCCAAGAAAATGAAGGCAATTTCTGGTAGTAAGTTAAAAAGTTTTAAAAGACTACAGCTGTAAACCATGATTTCTAAGTTCAAGGATCACAACATGAGTGCATAAATTGGGCTAGGTGCAGGTTGGTAGGTGATAGGGTACACAGTAAATTAGTGCATTTCTGCTTGAAGCTACATTTTAAAAACATTTCAACTCTGGGTCAAATAAATCACATCTACATGTTCTGCTCCTCACCAGCACAACATGGGGTTTGGAAGGAGAAATAAAGCAGCACACAGAAGCATGAGATGCGATGAGAAAGGCTTGGAATTGAGCCTCCTAACGATAGAAGAATAGAGATCAAGTTTGGTAACTGTTATTGGAGCCCATCCAAGACTAACAGCCTCCTTCCTCTTCCACATCTCTCTTTGGTCCAAGTTTTGTTGTTGTAATAGCTTAATACAGTGTGAAAAGGCACGGTAAGAGTTTGCCCTTCAAATCTGTATTTTCCTGTAAAATGGAGATAATAAGTCTAGCACAGAGTTATAGTTAGATTAAATGAATCTTAGCAGGACTCCTTTCACTCTGCTAGTGCTAAGTAGATGGTAGATATTATCATTAGTCTCTTGATCACTGAAGGAACTGCTTCCTTACTCACCCTTGAACTTCTCCTAGGATACACTAAAGGCAAAAATTAACTTTTAGAACTGTACAGTAATAAGCCTCAGAGAAGTTGTGCTTTCCAGGGAGGAAAGTAAGGTTCTTTCCTTTTACTCATGTAATTTAACAACTCTAGACTCAAAGACAGAAGTGTCCCCTTTCTGAGGGCTGATCAATGCCCCCCCCCATAGCCCCTTTTCTTTAGAATTATTCAAGGTGCTAGGTAAATTTGTCAGACTCCACACACCATGACCCATGCTTGCACCAGCCGGGCCAGTGTTTCCTAGACTGACATTCCTGGGAGCTTCCCAATGATTTGATTGTGCTAAACATACACTGATGAAGCATGTTCTGTGGGCAGTACACTCAGCTACGGAAAGGACAGATGAGGGCAGAGCTTTGATCTTGAAGCCTTGCCTTTGTGAAACATGGGAGAACCAAAAATGTCAAGAGATGGTGTCAGTACAGAGACAGATGAGTGCTGGAGATTCTTATACTCTAACATGAAAGCATCCGTGAGACTTTCGAAGAACAGTGGAAAAGCGAGGGTTAATGTGTTGTGAAAAGAATGAGGAAAGATTCACGCCCATTCTTCAAAGTCTAGATTTAGCTCTGTATCCTCCAGGAAGCATTCCACTCCACTTTGATCTTTTACTTACATGAAATCCTTTGAAAGTTGCTATTTAATCATTTTGGCCTTTAATCATTCTCTACCTAAAGTGGAAATGTAGTTTTTCCCTGGATATACAACCTGTATACCCGTCTAGATTACAGGAAGCTCTCTGGGGGTAGGACCCATGCTTTTTGAGCCATATATATTGTTGTGCTTGCACTCATCTGAAAAACTGAATGTCTAACATTGTTATCTGATTAAAGAGTATTTAAAAAAATAGTTCACACTGAATACAGCAGATTCAGCAGTTCAGACTCTATATATTGAAGGCACCCATGTCTTAAGAATTTTTGGTGCAATTTTAGAATTCAGGTTAGACTAGAGATAGCAAAAATGGTAAATATAAACCTGTATCTATTTCATAATAAATATCCTATTTTTACTTTTAATCCACCTTCGCGTTCTGGATTTTGTTGCATGAATGATGTTAACAACTTGAAATAAGAGGACAACAGGATATACCTATAGTCACTCCACAAATAAAGAAGGACAGAGAGATGAAATGGCAATGATCTCTCATTTGCTTCAATGTGACATGCAGAGTTGGCTGGGATGGCAAAGTAATAATCCTCAAATTTAAAATTATAAGGTTGTATTATGCTTCTTTACCATCTATATATTATTATTAAACTTCAAACAGAAATATATTTATCAACATAAATATTTGTTTTGAGAAGAGAGTTAAAGTGGAAAAGCTAATAGGTGATACTGAAATGACTTTTACTTAAAAATCACTAAACATCGTAGACTGAGTCCCTTATTATTTATCCAGTACTTAAGATTTTACCGCTCCTGTGTCTGATTTTCTCTCATTTATGCCTGCCACTAGTGGGAAATTCTGCTTTTAATTACTTCTCATCTAGTCTCCAGCAACAGCTGCCTCACCAGGTTCTTGATTTTTTCCATTCAAGTTGGTCTTTTATGAGTCACTAGATTAATCTTTCCGTAATGAAGCTTCAGAATTGTGATTTCCTGCTCAAACATCCTCAGTGTCTCCTCTAGCATTCAAAGTATGCAAACTTAGCCCAGCACACATGAATCTCTGTTTTTATTCTATTTTCTATAGTTCCTACCCAAAAATCTGATTTATTAAATGTATTTTGTACATTAAAATGTCGTTATTCATTATTCCAGTAGATGCTTTTAACTTTCTAATCTCTATTGCTTTTATTAAGGCATTCCTGAAGCCTAGATGCTCTCCTGAATTTTTACGTCATTCAAGATTAAGCTAATATATGACCTTTTCCATGAATTTGTCTCTCAGCTTTTCAGAAGTAATTAATATTCTTCCTAAAATGTATAGAAAGTTTCACTCTCTTTTCTGACATCTCTTTTCTAACATTTTATACAATACAAATATTTAGGTAAGTGTGTTTCTCTGCTTCTTGTACGTAGTTACACTATGGTGTCAGGTGTAAAGCTTTAAACACAGAAGATATCCAGATAGCTGTTGAGCAAATGACTGAATAGAATAAGTCCATTAATATGTACTTGTCTTGGTTACTTTCTTCTTGTTCTTGAGACAAAATACTGGATGCCCAAATGAAGCAAGGAAAGGATTATTTAGCTTACAGCTTTTGGAGGTTTCAGTTCATACTTAGCTGGTTCCAAGGCAGGGTGGTGTAGCTGAGAGGTAGCCGTTCATATCAGTATGACCAAAATAGCAAGAGCAAAAGGGCAAAAGGGGGAAATGGGGATAAGGGCAAAAGGGGGAAAGCACACCTCCTTCCCTCCCCTATGTTGTTTGCCAACTCCACCCTTTGGTAGGTGTAGCAGTCACACCACCAATGCCAGTGTTAGACAACCAACACATCACAAATGCTAGACTCAGCCACATCCATGACTGCATGGGGTGTTGGGGGGCCACTTAAGCCATAACAGTACTGTTACAGAATTCTGAGGTTTATATGAAGTACTATTTACAAGGTCTCTAGGAACCTTGTTAACCATCATGAAAAAGTCATGTAAGTTGTTTATGAAGACCAATCTGACTTATGAAATAAGCAGCCACAGATTGATACAGTAAGTTTGTTTACATTAGCATCACTGTAACATGTAAGTAATACATCGCTTTGTTTCAAAGAGGCCACAGCTTCACTTAGCTCCATTATACGTTTATGGGACCACTTGTTGGTCATTGGTAGAAACACTGAGTGTACTTAGCTGGTGAATTTTACAGCTATCTCTTTTTCATGGGTTTGGAAGAGCTCTAAGAAATGGTTATATAGTTTTCTACTTCTGTAAAGATCTAAAGGCAAAATTTTCTATCACTTAGGTTTATGGTGGCCTATTCCGCTACCGAAAGAGTGGGGAATAAAACAGTGTGTGCAATAAATCTAAAATGTTTCCTGGTTGAATCTGAGATTCCCAGTCAGTTATATAACTATAAGTTCATTATTTAGAAGAAAATAATGTTCAAATCATGGTGTATAATTGCCTGGACTGAGTCGTGAAGGTACTCTATACCTTTGGCAACATCTACTTAACTTAGACTGCAAATCAAGAACACTAGAGAGTAAAAATAGATTTAATGGAGATGAAATGGTTAAAATTAATACCATATATTTTAAAGCAATCAAAGGTTTCATGTGATTATTTTTTTTAATCTGTGCAATTTCATCCTGAGTTCTCTTTGTTGAAGTTAAGGTAAAAATCCAACAGATCTGAGAACAGAGACTTCATACATCAGAAAATGCTTAACTATAGGTTAACTTTGATATATCTTTTGCTTAAACTATTATATCTACTTTTTGAATTTACTTAGAATTACATATAAGTTCTCTTTAATGATGTAAAGTGGAATCTAGTTCAACTACTGAAGGAAATCACATTCTAGTTATTGTAAACCTAGATGTAGGAAATAAATTCAAATTAGGCTCATGTAAGACTATTCCTTTTTAAATTTTATAAATGCTCTAGTCCAGGCTATGGCTCAGCAACACAGTACCTGCCTGGCAAGCATGAGGTCATAAGTTTGATTCCCAGCATCAATAAATAAATAAACACTCTGCCTCTTGATAATTATTTCATACTGGCCCTACATACTTCTGTGATATTGGGGTGTCCAATTTAGCCTAAATATTATAAGCTTTAGTTGCCAATTTCAAGCTCATTAATTTATCTTCAAAGGGCTTACTGTTCTAAAATCAAGAAAGCATTTTCATTGCTTTACATAAAATAATTAGGCATAAATTCTTGGCCATATTTAAGATACCACATTCCCTGACTCTCAGAGGGTTATGAAGGTAAAGGCTTATCCAATCAGAAAGCCTCAAAGAAGGCGTCAAGGTGATTCCAAGGGTATGTCAGTGCAAGAGTTCGCACCTCTTCTACTCATGAAGAAGGGTGAGCAGAGAACCTCCTGAGATATACTGAGTGATAGTGGCAAACTGGCTGAATCGTTTAAGCAAGCACCCACAGACTGAATTGCACAGGAATGACTGAGCTGGCAGAGGGTGGACACCTCTCACATAAACCCACAGCTGACCTAGAGCAGTAGGTGTGACCTTGATCAGTAACTGGAAATGGCAGCAACAGGAAACTCCCATCAACAGATGATTGCAAACAAAGGGTCAGCCACATGTTTGCTTCTCAAAGGTCACAGCTCCACCTGGATGCTAATGTTTTCAGTATGCTTGCTTACAGCTTTATGGCAACTACCTTATTTCTGCATCATCCTTTATATACATTCCCAAAAGAACCTAAAACTATTAATATCAGCACACATATGATCTTGAGAGCACGAAACTAAAACAGACCTATGGTGTTTTAGGTCACCTGAGCTGATAATCTCATGAAACTCCTTTTCTGACAGCTGAAGATGAAAATGTAAAGGCAATCCAGCCCTTAAGAGAACACCTGCCTTCTCTGCAAACATAAATTTTCACTTTGTTTTATCATAGAAAGTACACATGCAGATGAAAACACACAAACATATACACTTAACCAAAATCATGATTCCCTGGTGACACTTAATTTTCTTACTGCAATTGACTACTTGGGGACACTAAAACCTTATCGCGAAGGATCCTTGTCCCCTGCATTAAAAGCATGTTTATCTTCTGTCTCAGGTGCTCACCCTTTGTTATCAGGGCTACGGTTTTACTCCTGATCTGATCATTAACCGGTGTGTATGACACCAGACCTGCAGCACAGTTGTAGACATGGCGATAAGGGCTCTTATCTGATCAGTCCCTTAGCCGGTATCAATGGGCTAAGTCAAATATTGACAAACTGAACCTCTGTGGAATGCCAATGAGATGCCAGGAAACAATCATTTAAGTCATCCTGAGTACACATACAAAATAGTCTTTAAAAATTTCAAATTCCAGGTAGTGAAATATAAACTTAAAATCTTATTTTATACTTTCCTGGTCGAGTGGTATTTAATTTCAACATACAGTGTTACATTTTTAAAAATTCACAAAATATTATTTATTCACAGTGTTTTTTTGAGAAAACGACTTGCTTCAAATACTTTTCCAAGCAAATCCATTTCCAATTCCTCTAAAATACTAATATTTCTAATGAATATTCTAGTAAAATATAAAGCTCTAAAACAGTTATAAAAATTTGATCTTTCTCATTTGAAATTTTCACAACTATATCTTTGTGAACCAAAAGGTCATAAAAGATACTGCTAATTATCAGCATAGTCAGTAAGTAATATTAATTATGTTTATAAGATAGCGGTCATTTGTAATATATAAAACAGGCTAGAAAGTTATCACATTTAGACAAAATTATCTTAATAAAATGTAACAACTCTTCCACTAATAAGTACCTTTTGTCATGCTTTTAATCCTCCTCAAAGGGATTGAACAGACACACAGGAGCTTTCCAGAAATCAAATTATATAATAGAATTCAATATAGCAATTATTTTTTATTTAAACATTGAACATCATATATGTATAGTTTTCTGTATATATACAGTATATATAAACTGTATATATATTCACAGTATGTAAACTGTATATATATATAGTATATAAACTGTATATATTTGTATGTATATATACATACAAATATATATATAATATATATATATATATATAATAAGACCAAGGAAAACTGTAGTATAATGCCCAAATTTTTCTCAAGCTATTGAAACTGCCCAAATGTTTATTTAAAAACTGCTTTAAATAAGAATGAAGAAAAATCCAAATTACATAAGATGTAATTTGTGTCTTGATCTGAATATTTCTGTCCTGCCCTGATAGGTTACTGAAATGGAAAATGAGTGTTCTAAGCTTACCCAGGCCTTGCCCAGCCTTGTGCACTCCCTGAACAGGGGATGTAAAACTTGAAGGATTACTGATTGGGGAGGTAGAAAATAGTTTAAGGGAAGGCTTCTTGAGGTTAGAAAATGAGCCCAGTAGGGGCTGGGATTTAGCTCAGCGGCATAAGCGCCTGCTTTGCAAGCGCACAGTCGTGAGTCCGATTCCTGGTACCCATAAAAAAAAAAAAAAAAAGCTCAGTGTGGCATAGCGATGTCCTAATCCCTAGCTCTAGAATGATAAAAACAACAACACAGATCACCTGTAGGCACAGTGCATCACAGCCATGAAAAGTGAACATACCAGTGGGTACCTCCTCCAGGCTGATACTCACTACAGGGCATTCATCCTGAGAGCTCTCCTAAAGCTTCAAGAGTGTAACAGTGGTATTACATCCCTGACAAAAAGACAAAACAACAAAGAATCTTAATTTTGGCTTGATTTATTCAACAATTCCAGTCCAAAAAGTAACTGGAATTGGTTTATCATAGAGGATATATCTTAAGAGATCATATACTGCACCAGAAATTTAGTACTTTCATTCATTTATCCAAAATAATTTATTAAGATTTAACTGTATATGAAATATTTACACAGCCACCAACGGTAGGCACTGTTGATACAGTGAACCTAGGAAATGGCCTTACACTTGAGAAATTTGCAACAGAGTTGAACAAGTAATTATAAGAATGTGAACAATGACGATTTCTAAATAAATACCAAAATTTATAACAGTATACATAGCAAATGCATAATTAAAAGTGTGAAAAGTCCATACATTAAGAAGTAGAGACACATGCTGCAAGTATTACCTTTGGTTGACAATTCCTGTGTGACATGGCACTGAGATGAGTTACAGGAGTCCCTGCGGTGGAAACAGCTGGCTGCTCATGGACAATCCTACTCTTCTTTCACGGGGTGATTTGATTCCTGAGAAAGGCTACCCATTCATGAACCCCATTTCACTACTACCTTGCATCCGATTGTGACTTTGCAGCATACTTTCCAAAGAGAATATAAACATAGATAATACCATTTTCCCACCTGGGCTTTAGGAGACAGGGGAAACTTCTGTAGTCTCCCGTCTACTGGCTGAAAGCAAAACATTCTGTGGCCCCATGGCAGTGATGGCAAACCTTTTAGAGCTCTCAGTGATGCTAACAGCCCACTGTGGCACACATGCTGTAGGTTTCCCAGTATTCTTAGGGGCTGCAAAAAGCTCTTAACTGACCAGAAATGCCCCTCCTGGGGTGTTATATGACTAAGAAGTACATTTCGCTTATATAATACCATCACCATTTAGAGGCTAATTGCAGTAGGGACTTATTTTTTTTCTTTTTCCTAAAAATGCTAAATGTCCCCCTGAGTAAATCATTGATTTTCAATAGCATTAAATTTTAATACTGTTATGCATTCATGATAAAAATACCTACTGAAGTTAAGTTATAAAAAGAAAACCCAGCTTTGTGACTTTACCAAGAAAAGCATGAATTGCAATGGTACCTTTGTACAAATGGTAACCCTTAGAAAAAGCAGAAGTGCTTATTAATCACGAAGATTAATACCGCTTTAGTATATCACACTAAAGTACAGGGGATATGCTAGCAGTGGTGCTTGCTTATCAGGTATAAATCAAATGAAAAGTTTAGACGAGTTCATGAGATAGCAAAGCTACCTCATCGTATTTAAGACAACTAAAAGGTTCAAAAATCCCAATACCAGATTATTTAAGAAATATATAGCTCTGTCATTACAGTTGATCAAATTTTAACAAAACTTACATATCAACTATGCACTTCATAAGTAATAATTAAACTAGGCATCCAAGTCCAAGAATCACCTTTAGCTTTCTATTCATAACTGAGTCATCTCTCTTTTTCTCATTTTGTTGGCATAGGTTATGGTAGGATAATAGGGACCAGTCCCATTGGCACTTTTTCTTTGGATTGTTGTGTACCCACAATTCAGGAAACCTCAAGATCTGAATGACAGACAGACTTCTAAGGGGAGAAGCAAATACACAGAGCTCATAGATGCTGTAAAATTCCAGGGTAAGTGAGACAGAAGGCCACTGTGACTGGAGAATGGCAAACAAGGGTCTGGGGCACAATGTGGCTGCAGATGTAAGTAAGTGTACAGCACATGCAACAGTGCTTCTCAGACTCTTCCGTGTGAATAAGCATCACTGGGGACACAAGACAAAGCACAGATTCCTGAGCCCATCCCCAGAGAGTCCGATGGAACCGGTGTATAGGAGGGCTTGGGCATCCCCTTGCTAACAAGACCCCTGGGAACGCTGGCCGGCAGCCCATACTTTGGATACTAGTGATGTTGAGCATTAAAGGTTAGGATGAGGAGGTTGGATTTTACTGTAAGTCAGATGGGGAACTATTGGAGCTTTTTACTACTGGAGCACTTAACTAGGAAAAGATATGATTTGTTTTACTTTCTAAAAAAAATCCATCTATAGATTAAAAGGATGGTAGATCCTTGGAAGATTAATGATGTGGAAAATAACATATATAACGCGCCTTATACTTCTAACATGTAAATCCACCTTTGGAATCATCTCACTGCCTTCTTGCCTTATATTTTTGCCTCAAGAATTATAAACGAACTTGCAATCTCCTTCTTTAGAATTTCAGATAATTCATCTCAATATCAGTGAATTCATTTTCCATTGCTGTTTTTCTTAATTATCACAAACTTAGTGACTTAAAAAAATTAAAGTTTATTATCTTATAGTTCTGAAGGTCAGAATACTAACATGACTCTCTCTAGGCTATAATCATAGTGACATCATGGTTGTGTTCCTTTTGGGAGCCCAATTCTTTACCTTTTCCATCTTTTAGTTACCATGCTCACTCCCTGGGTATATTTCCAGGCATGTAGCACTCCCCTAAGCTTGAAAGCAAGCAATGCTTGCTGAGTCCTCTTCATATGACTATGACCTCTATCTCTGCCACTTTTCACATCAAGGACCTCTGTCACTTTAGGAAGCTCAGGAGGATAATCCAGAATAACCTCTCTAAGGGGTCAGCTGTTTAGCAACCTTCCATCTTTGCTATGTAAGGTAGTATATCCACGAGTGCCAGGGGACAGATCTCTGACATCTTTCTTAGAGGGAATGTCACTTGTCTACCGCACTCAGCTGGATGAAGATATTCTTGTCCCTTGATTATGTGTGGGTGGTGCTTTTAATGAGCAATTCCTCTTCCTTGTCTGATGGCCATAAAAGTAGTAAGCATAAAAGTAGTGAGATTAACAACGACAACAATAACAACAAAAACACTCTTTGGAATTAAGCTATCCTTTCACCTGTGTCCCGCTCGACAATAATTCCACCTATAGTGGATTTGGAATCTTTGTTTTTCTTGTTATTGTTGTTGCTTGAGCCAGAAAAATAAACCACAAAATACAAAACATTAAAATAAAACTTTGGGCAGAGGATATAACTCAGCAGCACAGCACCTGGCTGGCAAGCATGAGGTCTGAAGGTCGATTCCCTGTAGCAAAAGATAAATGAAATGAAAGAAAAACTTTGTCTTATTTCAGAATTTTCCAGAAGTGGTTTCTTCAGGGCAAAGAAAACACCCAAATGCTTAGCAGTTATGCAAGTACAACAAAGTTTATCTCGGAGTCCACCTCCCTGCCTGTCTCAGCCCTGCCTGGGAATTAACTCTGGCTGACTGAGGAGGGAGCCCTGTGATTTTCTCAGCCAGGCAGAAAGCTGCCTCCTGAGTCCTGAAGGCCTTATGACTTGGCCGTCAGAGCCTCAATGTTACCTTTCTTAGCAGAGGCTCTCTGGGCTCCAATTGCTCTGAGCAGTTTTAATTTCTTGCCAGCACAGTGGCACAGCTTGCTGGCATTTTCTTTGGGATGCTTTTCATCAGGAGCCTAATGAGTGCCTGGGTTCTGGCTGATGATAAGAGAGAGGTTGCCAGGGAAATGCCAAGGGGCCCCTTCAGCTCTGCAAGGCACCACAGCCTGATTTTCCACCTCCTGCTAACTGTGTGCAAAAGCACCCATATATGGGAAATGTTTCCTCACTAGAGCTGCTCTGACAAGCCACCAAAAGAAGTGCAAAACCACCTGAAAATCACCAAGCCCAGATTCCCTACCCTTGGCCACAAGGAGTTAAGCAGGAAAGTGCTTTGATGGAACTCAATAAATGGACTTGTTAAGCCAAATTCCTGATAAAGGAGACACTCAGATAACCAAGGCTTACTAATGGAACATGCCCAAAGATAATCAAACTTCCGCTAATTAAATAAAATGTTTTCCTATGTCTAAAAACGTGCTATCTACATCCAAGTATTTTACCCAAGTAAGAGGTTGCTATGTTATTAGCCTAATGCAGTTATCATAATGATTTGCACTTTCAGAGTATTATTCACTAGAGCACCTGAAGGTTTTGGCAAATGTGATTGCTCTGCCAGCTGGAAGTCTCTTTCATTTCTTGCTCCCCTATGTGTGTTCCTCAGATTCACGCCTTCCTTTAATTTGTCATCTTGTGTTCCTTCACTGCTTACATTTGTTGTATTTCCCTTTCAAACCTTTTACTTCCAACTTGGAGTTACCTCAAAATCTGAGTTTTTAAGGTCACAAGTACCTCCAAAAGATATAATAAACACAGTTTAGTATCTCTATGATGATCATGTACCCAGCAAAGGTTTCACAGTTGTTTAAGAAGTACAGTTTTTATTTCTCTGTGAAGTTTCTTCCGTCTTCCTCATTTCAGCTTAGAAATAATGAAAACTAATGCTCGTCCCTTGCTATGAGCATCATTACAAGAAACAGATCAAGAGATTAAAGAGAGATGACACTGGTACTAACATCGTCTCATTGATTTTGTGACTTTGGGAGGTCTGACAGCCAAGGCATTTTATTCACCTCCTATGTCCCACGTGCCAAAGTCATTGAAGGCACAGCATGGACCTTGCTTTATACCCAATTGAAAAAAGAAAACTTTTACAGCAATGATACAGATGAGACTTTGCTAGATATTTTAACATCTTCCCTTTCTATCATGCTAAACACTCACTTTCCAGCAGCACTGAACAGGGAGGTCGGCAAGTGACTTCCACTGTTCGCCCTTCTCTGGTATCATCATGCTGCCAGTTCTGACCTTGCCTCCCCGCACTAACAGTTAGATGAAAACCAGAAGAACCCCTGGTTCGCCACATGTTTTTCTGACTTCAATCTGAAAGGCCTCATAATTTTACACTACAAAGAGGGAACTCATGTCCCCTTTGATCCATTGTCCCTACTCTTTAATTACCAAACCCAAAGCAGAGTGCTACCAGTATTTCACCTGGACATATCAACAAGTAGTATGCTTTTGCCAAGACTGCACAAATAAATTATTTCACTGTTCTTCTTTCTGTCTTCTTCTTATTCTGTTTTACTTTGCTTTAAAAAATATTGACCACACATCTGTGAGGGGCCTTCTCCACTCACATTTTCCATGAATACTTTATCTTAGATAGTGTTCTTCAGTTTTTCACTCAGCACTATATTTCCTTTTTGCTTTATCAGTAGCACTTGCTATTTTGTATTTTCTGTTTATTTTTTCACTTTTGTCCTGCCTGTTCAACTAAAAGTATAAACTTCCTAAGGCCAGGGAGACACTATGCCAATGTATAAAAATACGGGTTTTAAAACATTCTTTAAAATCTTTTGTCCATTTCTTTGAAGACCAACATTGTGAAATTAATAATAAACTTATGATATTCATAGACATAACCACATAGGCAGTAGAATAGCGTCAATTAGTATTCTGGAGAACATTAAATCACCGGATGTCATTTAGTAGAATAGCGAATAGCACATTATATCTAAACTCTCTGCTTTCTTTTTATTTTATTTCAACAAGTAAATATTGAGCATCCGTTAGGAGTCATCTATAGAATTCAAATTTCTGAAAGACAAGGATTAATAAGCCAAATGCCTGTTCACAATAAGCTTACAATTTGATGGGGAAAGGGTGTTTCAGGATAAAATGATAAACACAGAGATAAAGATGTACACGTCATGCAGTAGAGCATAAGGAAGAATTTGCATGTTAAACTGGGATGTCAGGGAAGAGGGTCCGTAGTATACTCGGTCTTGAAGGCTAAGCAGAAAGAGGAATTTAAAGAGTGGGACCGGAAGGAGCAGAGTGCAGAGATATAGAAGACTGTATAAGAAAAGACTTGCGAAGATGGATCATGGGATGAAGGAGCTTTATTATCATCACAGCTAAGGACACTGCCCGACAGGGTTATTTGCAGAGATTGCTGAGTTAATGTCTAGAATGAGCATGACACAGAGCCCCCACTGTGGGAAGGCTGGGGACACAGTGCAGTGAGGATGGCTGTGTCAGGTAGGGCCACCCCGGTGAGACAGGGACTCTGCGTGAGGTCGTCCTTGTGTGCTGCAACGAGCTGGCATTTTTCTCCCAGGCGATAATGTGTCATGAAGGATTTTAAGATGGGAGATGATACAGCCTTATTTGCACCTCGAATGCATCTCTCAGACTGTGTGGAAAAAGAAATGCAAAAGGTGCTGAAGACTAAAACCACCAACCCATTAAACAAAATCATAGCTATCAGGCTACTAAAATGGAGCAGGGGAAAGATGATAAGGTATTGAATTAAAATAATTGGACTGAAAATAAATAAGAAAAGATGGATTCTAAATTTACTTACAAAGCAAAATAAACCTTTTGACTGACTGCATATGGATGTGTTGTGTGTGTGTGTGTGTTGTGTGTGTGTGTGTGTGTGTGTGTGTGTGTGTGTGTTGCTGTGGGAGAAGGTAAGAGAAGAAAGGTAGTCCAGTATTGTTTCAGATTTATAAATTAGATGTAAAGTGAATGAGAATGCTGTTAAATGATACTCGAATAAAGGATAGGAGAAACAAACTAATCAGGACAAAAGAATGTTAAGATAAATTCTGAGACGTACACATTTCTTAGATATCTATGTAAGGGAATCTAGGAGCCATTTGGTAAAGTGATCTGAAACTCTTTGTGAGGAAAAACTCTGCTGTAGTGAAAGCCCTGCAATTTTAAAATACAGAAATTTTAAAATATTATTTCACATTTTGCAGGCATCTACAAATATTAGAATGGTGCTCCTGAATTACTTTCATATTTTGAATAGCAATTTTCAAAATCTTCATGATTTTGCTTCAGTCTTTGGCTTTTAAAATCAATACCATAACTTGAGACATAAGCAAAAAATAGGAAGCTAGGGACTGGAGATTTAGCTCAGCGGCATAAGCACCTGCCTAGTAAGCACGAGGTCATGAGTTTGATCCCTGGTACAAAAAAAAAAAAAAAAAAGTAGGGGTATAGCAAAACCACACTCCTGTTTGCTTCTCTGTTTGTCGATTTTGTCCAGTGGTATTTGGCAGGAGTATAAAGTCTTCATTAATTGGCTCATAGAGAATGCCACCATCCTGATAGATCATTACTTCTTATTGTATGCTAAAGGATACTATACATTAGACAGATCATGGGATTTGGGAGTTATGCACACATCAATGAACCTTTGTTCAGCACTTAACAATAATAGCTATTCACTGTTTTTGTTGAGAATCTGTTATGTTCTAAGCATTTACCTCTTATCTTTAATTATCATCAGAACTGTGTAAAGTGGTTATTAATTTCCTCATTTTAAAACAAGGGGTGAGGACAGAGAGGATTAGTAAGTTGCTCACAGTTGTTAAGTAATAAGAATGAAAATTTGGCTTAGATCTCTCTGACTCTAGAGTGTGGTAGTAAAGAAAGCTTTGGCTCTGCAGCAGGATGGAAGTCTGCTGCCTGCTTTTGCTTGGCAGGTGAGATCCAACAGTTTTAAACCTGGAAGTCTTCATAGTAGAAATGTAATACCAAGTTCCAGGGTTAATTTGACAATTAAAATATAAATGCATGCAAAATAACTTCTTAATGTATGTAAATTATCTTCTACTATCCATTCTAAGCATAAAGATTCTTGTAGCTATTATAGTGCAAAAATTCGCAAGTTATCTTCCTTACACTGGAACAATAAAAATTGTTCCCATTCTAAGGAGGGTTACTATTTTCATTTGCATTTAATACATAGAGAGGTAATTCATTGTACCAAAAAAAGTCCTGCATGGATTTGACATACCATTTACATATTTTGTTTAACCCTTTCCATACCTCATTTCCAATTCTGTTGGACACACTTAACTAGGTTCACTATGATTAACTGAACTCCAAATAGATAAAAGATTAACATGGAAATTTATGATCCATTAGTGAAAGTTTATCAATAATTTGATGAAACTACTTTTTCTATTCTTCCCTCACCTTCACCTAGTATTACCGTTTACTGGCTAAAATCTGTAGGAACTCATGACTGCACGATTTCATTACTTTTAGAGAATACACTATAGTACGTTTACTATAAATAATTCACAGCATACTACACTTGTCAAAAGAAATAAACAAGGCATATATCATGGCACAGGAGCCTGATTTTTATTGTTTTTGCTCACTTACTCACTAATTCTCTGACTCCAGCTCCTTGTCACTATGAATTAGAGCTCTTCTGCTGTATACAAATACTGTATTCTGGATAATTAGATATTGGGATAGAAGCCTCTGGAAATTACTTTAACTGGTGGCAGAACTGAAGCAAATGGGAATTTTTGAGTTCTCTTTCTAGTTTGGGTTATTTTCTGACCCTAAACAGCCTGACATAAAGAGCACTTTTCTTTGTCAAAGGCAGCCTTTTCAAATCTAACTGCCAGACACACTATTGAGCTCTGTGTTCAATTCTAATTGGCTGAGATCTTTTCAATTCGGCAGTTTCATCTTTAATGCAATGGATGTAAGATTACGTGTAGGTCTTTTCAATGGGTTTTCCATACTGGTGATTAGGGCAGAGGATTTGAACATAAGCAGGCTGCTGGCTATTTCTTCTGGCCAATTTAAATTGATTCATACAAGTCCTTTGTACCCCAGGGAAAGGGCAGAACAAATCCAAGTGAGTGAGACAGCTATCGCTACACTCTCAAATGGAATAGTAAAAAACGAGAGAAGGGAGGAGAAAAACTCTAAATACTGTAAAATTGGAGTGCTAAGAAGTCTAGCGGAGAAATATTGAAGCTTAACCAGTAGGCTTCTGTGTAGTATCAAGGTCACTAGGAAAACTATTTTCAAGATTGGTTTTGACCACCTTAGGCTAAAAGGGCTATGTAAATAGAAAGTGTTGGTGGGCAAACTCTTTTTTGAAATTGTTCTAAAAGTAAGAAGAAAACTTTTGCAGAACTCCAGAGCCCTCCTGGATGTGCAAACTCAGAACAGCAGAAAGAAGGTTAGCCACAGGTAGAAGTCTCTGAGGCTTGCTCAGAGATACACGCTGAGAAGGCTCCTCAGTTTCCTGTTAAAGAGGGCAGACAAAGATGAGCTACTCGAACTAAGCAGGCCCAAAGTGCTGCTTTCACATAGACTCTGGTCCTGCATCTTCCCTCTAGCTGCTTCTTGAGGTGGGCTAAGGTAGCCGATAAACCACAGTGGCACTATCTCTCAAACATCTCCATTATATAAAGAGAGAACTCTAAGGAGAACTTTAGTGCTTTCTCAGCTTCATTTCCAAATTATTTAAGAAACATTTTACTAAGCCATGTTTATTAATTTGGTAACTCCCTCTCCGCAAGAAAAGAATGGCATTTTTTTAATTCAAAGAACACGGACATTGCATGGTGTTGACAGCATCAACAAGGCCATTTCAGTTCTGTCTTCACACATGAAAACAGTGTGGCATTTCTCTAGCGAGAAAAAATTGCAAGAATATAATTTTCCCAGTTTGACTTGCTCGGCCCCAGAACATATGCAAAATATCCATCTGTCTCCTGAGTACTAACATTCAGTTTGTTAACATGCATAATAATAATGCAATTCAACACTAATTCCCAGCACAGGAGTTGAACAAACAAAGGTGACAAATACTGCATATGTTGAAAAGATCAGTGGGCAACTCCTATAAAGTAAAAGATTTTTGTTGTTTTTTAAGAAGAAACCTTAGGGACTTGGTACAATGATTCATTGCTTTAAAATGTGGAATTCCACAAGAAAGTAAAGAAAACTAGTTTTCAACTATCACTCTCCATCAGCTAAAAACAAACAATGTCAACCCCTGTGAAGAGAGAGCTGCAACAGCAACTTCTGAGCTGCCTTCCGGAAGGCTAAAGCTTCGCAAACAGTCTGACTCTGAAACTCACATTTCTCAGGGATGCTGTCCGAGAATCTCCCAGATAAATGCAATGTGTTGAGTAAGAAGAATTTGGAGCCTGCCAAAGCTCCAGGATATTTGAGATTTTCTTCCAACTGATAATTAAAATATAGAGCTACTTAGAATTATTGTGATGCAAAGTAGAAGACGATTATATTTAACAGAAATGCATTCAGGTGTCCATCGAAAGAGAAGCGGGCATGTAAATATTCCTATAGTATTCTTAACAATTTGAAAATTAACTAATTGTGCAAGTTTCAAATTGGAATTGTCCAGCTGAAAACTTTCCAAGTTCCTATGGATAGAATGCATAAATTTTGATCTACTGTAGCAAACACAAAACAAAATTGCACTATGCAGCAATAAGAATGAATGGCATACAACTTACTTCAGATGGTCTCACAAATTGCTGACCAAAAAAACCAGCCACAAAATGATACCTTCCATAGTATTCACTTGACATAAAGGACGGAAAGAAATAAAAGCAATTAGAACCTTCCTTAGGCAGACAGTTTGGATGACAATATAAGTAAGACTCCTACTAAATGGTTCTATACACTTTTATCATCTGGGTAGGGGGTGGCTTTAATTTGTAAAAATTCACTGAGTCTTATAGTTATGTGCAAAAGTGTGTGACTTTGCATCTATATAACACCCAAGTAAAAAAGTAAAAATATATCATAAACCTGTCTGTAATTCTGATCTGCTATACCATGTCTGTTTGCTCATCTTTATTAAAATAGTTCCCAGTATTTTTCACCAGCACTTTTCTGAGCTGTATGTTTTTCCTTCTCCTCTCTCTATAATTATACGAGCTGCCCACTTCCATTTATTAAACTCAGGCAGAAACATTTTAGATCAACTTGATAGCCTGAGAAATCTTTCAGTTTACCTGCTATATTTTTCAGTGTGACATTTTAGGTTTCTAGTATCAAGAAAGAGAGATATATTTCTTTACATAAACTTCCAAAAAGCAGAGTAGTGGTCAAAAGTTAACATAACAATGAAAATAACTCTGAAAAGTTTGATGCAGGGTAACATTCAGTTATATGTTTATAATTTCAGTGGCAATATATAGTGTTCCTGGTCCCCTGAAAAAAATAACCTAAACTTAGAAGTATGTATGTTGATCTCACCCAGGAAGCACAATACAACACAATACCAATGACAAAGATGCCGTTTATCCTGAGAATTTCTGCAGTACTCTTTCTTGAAATGAAGAATTTGCTACCAGTCATCTTTATTTCTGACCTAATACTACTACCACTGCTAGCTATCAAGACTAAAATACCAGTTAATAAGTAGGATTTTTTATGCCAGCCACTGATCTAAGCAATTTGCACGTATTACCTCTCCTAAGCTACAGTCTTGTGAAGTAGAAGCTGTTGTTAACTGTGCTTGTCAGATGGAGAGGCAAGAACTCAGCCAGACTCAGTAACTTGCACAAGGTCCAAGAACACAGCTTGATTTAACCCTGGGTATCTTCACAGCAGAGCCGGAGTACTCACCACTCTGAGCCCAACGTATCCACACTTAAGCACTAATCTTGGATCCCTTACCATTTTTTTTAGCATAATGATTGTCATTTTCCTGATAAACAAATACTCCACACTAAATTCTCCTTTCAGAGAGTTAGTGACAATCTAACTCTGCTCTACTACCATCACCTATCAGAAGTTTGGCTCTCTAGTACCTTGATACACAATAGTCCATTCAGTCCCTTCTCAATGTGCCGATACTGAGACTGCCTTCTGCTCACTAGCCCCAGAGCTGCTTTCCTAATGATGGTCTCTTGAAGTCTTTGATCTAAAGCTTCAGAGATTCATATACAATCTACAGAGGAAGTGGGAGTGTATGAATCACACAAGCAAAGGAATTATTCATGCATTGACATAATCTTTGCACATAGTTCAATGTGTCACTATAGAAATGCAATGATTAAAACTTTACCTTTTTCATAAGACCACATCAAACATGTCTGCTCATTTTTTTGCCCCTAGACCTGCTGAGATCACAAGCAAGCAGATTCACATCAGCTCCATTATCCAGTAGGAATCGAGCCAGGTGAATGTGGCCACAGTAGCAAACAGAGTGTAATCCTAAAATAGAACCACAGTAAAGGGATGAAACAAGAAAACCACACTTTGATTTTCATCAGAACCATATACCAGTGTAGTTTCCAGAGATGGAAAGCAATGATTAATATCAAATTGATAGTGAATTATTTTTAATTGAGACAATAAGATAGTATCTTAAGCAAATGAAGTATTCTATTTTAATCTTATATAAAAATTTCTAGGATTTCACCACTTCCAGTAATTACCAAGCACAAATGCTAGAATTTTTACACAAGAAAAAAGTGCCAAGCAGAATTTTTCTTAATAACCAAATCAACAGCAGGGTCGCACATTCAGTTCGCCCCAGTCTAGGCCATAAGAGGGTGCACTGATGGTAAATATTTAACAGAACACTGAAACTGACCCCCCAAACTCCACACTATGTTATCATCATTCACCATCATTCTATATGATGTTAGTTTATAAAGAACTTCTTGAGTCAGGGATATAGTTCAGAGGCACAATTCCTGCCTGGCAAGCGTGAGATCGTGACTGATTAAAAAAAAATCTGATAAATCAGGTTGAACACTCTCAAAATCCTTAATTTTTTTTCTTGGCACATCAAAGCTCTTGAACATTGACAAGCATCAGGAGCCAGTGATCTTTTCACCACCCTCTCACCCATGTGTGCCCACCGCTTCCTGGGTGATTGGTATTTACCACATTCTGACCAAGAAATTTAACCAGATCAGTGTGTTTGCTGTAGTCACAAGCACTGTAAAAGAATAAAAATAAAGACTCATAGTCCTTTGCTATGGACTGTTCTGTGTGTCCTCCCAAATTCATGTGTTGAAGGTTAAACTCCACTAACTTAAGAATATGACTGCATCCAGGGGTACTGTCCATAAAGAGGTGATTAAGTTAAAGTGGGACCAGTAGGTTGAAGTCTAAATCCAATGACATTGCTGCCCTTGTAAGTCAAGACAGTATCCCTGACACACAAGAGGGGTGGCCTTGTGAAGCCACAGCGAGAAGGTGGCCATCATCAGACCAAAGAGCAAGACATCAGAGCAAGTCAGATTTACCCACATCTTGAACTTTGTACACTCCAGAAATGTGAGAGAATAAATGTTTATTTTGTAAGCAGCCCAGCCTCTGGTGTTTTGCTATGACAGACTTGGAAACTAATATAGCTTTCATTCCAGCTACTCTAGATGCTGATGTTTATACAAAAGAGCAAAAAGACACAGAAGGGAGGGGAAAAGGGGTGGAGAAAAGGAAGTAATGGAAAACAAACAAATGAAGTCCCAAAAGCTAAGTAAAATTGAACATAGAGATATACAGCTATAATCCTATCACTTTGGAGGCTGAGGTAAGAAGTTGACAGATTTGAGTCCACCAAGGTGACAACTTAGTGACTTACTGAGATCCCGCTTCAAATTCAAAAACAAACAAACACACAAAATGCCCAGATATATAATTCAGGCCAAATGCCCTAGGTTCCATCACCTTCTAAAACAGGTGTTAAATAAAATGTGAATACACAGTGATAAAATCCTGAAGATTTTAACAGTTGTGTCAAATTTCTAGTATTTTTACCAAGTGTTTTCTGTCATATTAGGTCTTCTTTAACCTAGGAAGTACTCTGCAGGATGATCAAATGAGTATTGAGAGATTTTTTTCTCAAATTTAAACCAAAGTATAAAATTATTCCCTATACAAACTATCTACTGTTTCTCTAAAGACTTTCTTGAAGGCTCCCTGAGCTATCATTTTACTAAGGGAGTACTGTTTGTGGGTTCAAAATCCAGAGCTTTTCCACACTGTAGCCTGAGGACCTTGAGCATGTTCTCTGAACTGTCAAGTTATAGTTTTAACACCTGTAGAACCTAATGATAGGTAATACCTTCCCTATTTGTTACATTGTTATATTGTGTCTGCTAAAATGTCAAGTGGGTTAATGTGTGTGGGGTCACATTACAATCTGTAGAAGAGTTTCATTACTGGATCTTTTCAGTTGGAAGGAAGGATCAACATATTTTGGGACCCAAAGGAAATAAAGTATTTAGAGATAAATTTTAAACTAGATTTGTTGAAACTAATTAAAGTTTTGATTTCTCATATTTATTGAAAATAAGCTTAAATTTAAAAAGATTTTCCATAAGGGAAGTAAATCATACTTCTTAACAGATAATGGATATTTTTTTGACTGTTCTCATAAATTTCTTTTTTCCTGCTGTTTCTTTCATACTTCTGCTTTTGCTACAACTAGTATAGTAACAATACTTTACTTCGAAACTCCAGAGAGCTGTGAGGTATTTGGGTGACTAGAGAAGTTGGCTACTGCAGGGCCCCCCTTGGCTATGGTACAGGAAAGGTGCAGAAACTTGATTCCAAGAGATCATTCACCGGGTCTTACTATTTCTTATTTGTCTGTAATGAACTGCCACTCAGCTCTCACACACTTGACCTCTTGCTCTCTGAAATCTTCTCATGAATTAAAGACAGTAGTCATTTCCAATCTGCTTCTTTTTCAGTTCAGTTTTATGGCCCTTGTTATACTGTGTCTGGTAAGGGTCACCTCAGTTCACCTTCCTACTCTACAATAGAAGTAAGGGAATTCTGTTTTCTTAATGTTTTTGCCAACATTAACATAAAGCAGGTTCATCCCTAATAGATCTTTTCTGAGTAACTGAGTGACTGAAAAACCACTCTGTCAGTGCAATGTATCATATCAACATCAACTTTTTCATGAAAAATATGGCCTGTAACCTACCCAGCTAATAATCCATTCACTGAATTGTTTCATTGTTTCTTTTCTAAGTGACTACATATAGAAATGATGAGTTCTGAATATATACCTGTATGTGTGTTTACACAGGTACATGTGGCTATATGTATATTTATGTATATGAAAATAAGACTCTGTTATTCCTTGCAGCCACAGCCCTGTAGAAAATAAAATAGCCAGGGTTATACTTTTAAGTCACTTCACAAATATCATATAGACAACTTTCTGGAGGTGACAGTCACCTTGTGAGCACAGTTGGTTCCAGTTCATGTGCATGGAGTAGCAAAATGATTTGAAGGCTAGCCTGAGGTGGCAGCCACAACAGGCAGGACCTGCCAGGAGGGAGAATACCAGCGAGCGTACATATCAGTTCTGCCAGGGACAGATCCCGCTGATGCCTTTACTGAGAGTATGATCTGAAGAGTCCTTGAATCTGTTATGTCACCAAATATGTGGAAAGAAGCAAAATATTTAGGTATGAGAACATCAAGATATATACAAAGAATATGACTTAGAGTTTACTACATTATTTTCTAGCCATAAGGAAGAATTCAGTTTTCCCCAACATTATGGGTTTTTTTTGTGAGGATTCAGTGAGATAGTGGATATAGCTAATGGGATTTAACTTCCTTTTGTCACTTTCCTTTGGTTGATTTAAGAAAAAAGTGTAACATCAAATGAAATTTGATAGGTTCATGCTTGATGTGGAAGCTCACTTTAGTCTGAAGAAATGGGTGTCCTCGATTCTGTTTATTTACCGTTGCAACACAAATATATAAACAATTGAATCACAAATATCTTCCAAAGCTTGCAAACCAGTTATGAAATATGTAATATGTAAGTAAATGATGTTGCCTTCAAGATTTACTAAATCAAAATTACTATGCTTTTATCTTTATAATAAAATAGTGATCCAGTAAGCATGTAGGCTCTAACTTTTATAAATCATTCACCTTCCTTTGGACAGCTAGGGAGTGCTGTGGCTCTGAGTTGTAGTTATTAGGAATGTTTTCTCTTTTAATCTTTTTCCTTTGGTTTCGACTTTCCCAATCTCGGCTGAACTTTCAGGGTGCTTTTGCAGGCACACTGTAAAGGACTCTAATAGGTTCCTAGAAAAGAGCTCCCACTTCTCAGCTATCACAATGGTCATCTTCACTAGGTGTTTGTAGCCCAACAGATGGATGTCGTAGATAGGTGGACACATTTGCAAGTAAGCTTTAAGTAGGAAAGAAAAAAATATGAGTCACATTTAATGCTGATGAATTCTGTTAATGAGATTCTTCTCCTAGGAAGATTATGGGCACAGCCTCTTCTGGCAGCTTTCCACAAAGCGAGGAGGAATAGAGGCGATAGGCTTACAGATGTGGATACCTCAGTTGCCTTGGCAACATCAGCCCTGTCTTTGTGTTGGCAGCCAGGAACACAGCATCTGGCTACAGCCCCATCTGTTGTGCTGACTGCAGCATCTGACTCTACCTTTTCTGTCCATGCAGCTAGCCTGAGCTCCATGTCCCCTGCGCTACCTCTGCTATTGCTCCCTGATTGCAACATCTGCCACTGTTTGTTTTTGCTTTGTGTATACAACTTGAGGGGCTGTAGCATGTCAGCTGAGTTTAGTGGCTAGTACACATAAATATACATATATATATATATATATACACACCTGTGAAAAGCTAAAGATAGTTTCTTTAGTCAAACTCTGCTCCAGTTATTTGAACAATCTCCTTAGCGACTTCAAATTTGCCATTGTAGCTTGCTCTAGATTTAAAGAAAACACTTTGCTAAGAGGGCATGTAAGGCTTAGCTGCAGGGCCTGCGGAGCTTTATGTAGTACTCACAGGTGCAAAGGAGTGTCTCCATAGAGATTAACAACATGAGGCTGAACGTCCAAGTCACTGTGGAGCAGATACTTCTCTAGCTTGTGATGGCCAAAGCTCCTTATCCTGAGCGTTCACTATCATCTGAAAGAAAGCAAAAGATACATTATCTGGAACCCAGTGTTTTCAACTGTCATGTCTATAGTGTCATGAACTTTTCATAAATGCCTAAAAGACTCTTGGAAATAGGCCATTAGTGATGATAATAGAGGAAACTATGGGCAACCAATTTAAAAAGTTGTAATTCTGCTCTACTGCCTATTTTTACATAAAATAAGCTCTCTTTTAGATCCATAAGTTCAGTGGAATTCATACAATCCAATCTACCTTGCCGGGTAATTCAGAAAATCAATAACTTTTCAAAAGATAGTTGCAGCCTTATTTCCATAAGTACCCCCTTTCAAGTTAATTATTTTCCTCCGATGCAGTGTTAAGAATTTCAGATCCTGATGAAAGCACTGAACCCAGAGATTTTAATTGAGGAGGTGATGGTTACTCCCAGTAACCTGGGAGTGTCTGTGTATTTTCAGCACTATGGAGGAGGTTCTGATGAACATTTCAACAATGTACTACATGATACAGAGGGGAAAAAATGTGTTAGAGAAGGCTAACCTCATGAATCGTGTTGCCTTCAACAGATTCTTTAAAATTCAGTTGTTTCCTCAGGTATCAGGTAGTTGTTCTTCTGTTTATATCACCGCACTTGACCTCTAACGGTAATCTGGGGCATACTCTGCACTGCAGGTGCTAGTGAGAAGCCAAGATCGTGTTGTATCACAGAAGCAGAAAATTTGTTTTCCAAGACTCTTTTGCCATTAGGACAAAAGAATGGCAGGTGGTGACCGTCTAGAACGTGTTATCCTGTAATAATTCTTTTGCTCTCAACAGTGCCTTGCTTTGGATATTTGTCATCTCCAATCAAAACACTGCGGCATCAATGGTATTTGTAGATGATCAAACACCACTAACCAAAACCAGGGTGTAACCCAACCTAGTCATGTGGTAGTGGTGGCAGTAGTGTCATTTGGTTTCCAATTGTTGCAATTCCCATCACAAAGTCACTGTCATATACTGTTGGTTCCTGAAGCATAAAATTCATAGGTGCCTTGCAGGGCTGGCTTTGTGTCTTCAAAATACCTGTTGGGGTCATGACTCTGGGTGTTGTTTGTCTCTGTGAGTATTTAAATCTGGCTTTCTATCTTGCTGCTGCGAAGATTCTGGGTGCTACTTGATAGCCTTTAGCATATTCCTGTTTTTAATTGTAAAGTTTATTGATATAGTTTGGGCATAATAATGATCACACCCATCATATGGAACACAAGCAGATTATTATTTTCCCCCATTCCTCTCTCCTTCCTTCTGCCTCTTTCCCTTCTTATTTACAAAAGCTTTACTTCCATTTGAGTTTTCATTTATTTTCCTTTTCCTTCTGTTCCCTCCCTCTCCCCCCAATACCCCTTCCCATTTGAATCTTTCTTTCCTGTTTCCCAATATCTATTATACATTTGGTTCCTAGTCACACTTTCATCTTCTCACACTGGAAAAACAATGACATATTTGCACGTGTCTGATTTATTTCATTTTGCTCAGCCATAAAGAAGGATCAACTTGAGACCTTTATAAGTAAATGGATGCACCTAGAGACCATAGGCTTAAACATTTTCCTTCTGTGTTTAAATTGTCAAGAGTTAGTTTCTGATTTTTGAGAATCAAGTGACTGAGGTACTCTGGTTCCTCAGTATCAGATGATTAGTATGTGTCACCACTATGCTGGCTTTAAAGGTGGCAACGTCTTATCAGAAATGATGGGTATAGGAACATCATTGTTGCAAGATGCTTAGATATTTAGGGGCCCCATGATGATAAGGCACCTAGCATCTGTCACCTAGATATATTTAATAAAGTTAAATATTTATTATTTTCCTTCTTAGAAGTTTGTTAAATGCCTATTATGCAATTAAGGTATCTGTAACTTCAAAAACATGCAAATGGCTTGCATCTAAAATTGCCCAGTAAAATAGGATCCTAATCAACAGAAGAAACATCTACTGGATCCTCTGTAATTAGAGACCCACCAAAACTGCATAAAATCTCCAACCCCAAAATACAATGTATCTCATTGCAAGATAAAAATGTATAAGTGATAAAACAAAGACCAATAAACTGTATATGCTCAGTGTTCATACCATTGAATAACTTACAGTTTAGCTAGTCAATGATTACAGCACTGAAGTAATAATAAATAAACAATTATTCAGCCTGGAACCTGGCTTCATACAAATATTTTAACAATAAAATTCTTGCATTACTGTTTTCTAGCTATTTCTTTGTCAAAGTTTACTTATTATTGGATTACTTTGTAGAGCCCAAAGAACCAAGAGAAAAAAAAAAAGAATTTTTTTCTTTCAAAAATAATAACAGGAAGAAAAAGAACTTAAAATTATACATAATTTATTACTACTACTTGTCTAATCATCATGTAACGATTAACAGACATTGATTTAGACCTTGTGGCTGTGATATTTACTGACTTTTCTCTCTCTCTCTCTCTCTCTCTCTCTCTCTCTCTCTCTCTCTCTCTCTTTTTTTTTTTTTTTTTTTTGTTCTGCAAGATCTTACGCCAAAGGGAAATCTTCAACAAAGTCCCTGAACATTTCCTCCTGAGGCTGTTATTGAAAAATCTTTGAATCTTTTTTTATTAATGAATAGCTCAGAAAAGCACCTTTCTTTCAGAAGAACGTTTCTGGTTCTTTTGATTTTCTTACTTTTTATGATATTTTCCTTTGTTCACCTCTTGTTGGAAGCCAGCAACAGTCAATGGCATGGGTCAATGCCTGAGCACAGTCTGTATGCAGTGCATCGAGGGGACTCGGAGGGGCTCATGAAGAGCCAGGAGAGAAATTGTGGGGCAGAATGTACTTCAACCTTCTGTTAATTAATAATTTGCTTTTGCTCATCCCCAGTCCCGCTAACATTCTTGGTCTTCAATACAATCAATAAACCTCAAGGTAGGTTATCTACTTGGTGGATTACCTGCAGGGCTTCAGAATTTCTTCCTATCAAAGGAGATGTAACTACGAACTGAAGAAACGAAGTTGGATAAATCAGGGGTCAGAAACAAGAGGTTCTGTGTTTTGCGTTAATTGTCTATTTATGATTTTTGAGCCATTAACAAAGATTAAATAGACAAATATCATTGTACTTTACTTCAATGGTTATGAATGTATGAATGATATTCTATGTACTCTGACAATATCCTATCAAGAGACTTAAAGGACACCTTCAAACAAAAGAACATACTCAAATAAGCTTAGAAAAATATTTAGTTTCTGTCTTCCTCTTGAAGAGAATATATGTTCAGTAGTGTCTTCTAAAAGAATTTCTTGAATGAGTAGAAACACAAAAGCTTCTTTTTCTTCATTTCTGATTTTGAACTTCAAGATAAAAATTTCCAGATTAAAACAGCAATGTCTGCAAATCCGAGAGGCTTTTTAAAATAAATTCCAAATGTGTCTTAAATGAATTTTATTTTTGTTTGTTTATTTGTTTGTTTGGGTTTTCTTTTTTGAGACAGGGTCTCGCTATGCAATTGAGACCGGGTTTGAAATCACTTTGCAGCCTGGGTGGCCTAGAACTCATAGCAAACCACCTGCCTCAGCCTCCCAAGTGCTGGAATTACAAGCATGTACCACCACAATCTGGCTTTAAATGAACTTTAAAAACATGTAAGACCCCAACAAGGTTGAAGAAAAAAAATGAAAACAATAGTAATAACAAAACCACTCATCTACTGGGAGTGTGCTAGCAAGGTTTTTGTGGATTTCTGTAATAGCATGTTTCATGTTAAAGGACTGCTGTTTAAAAGAATTATAGCATTTTTCATTGAAATGACAAGAATTAGTAAGTTTTCAATACAAGATTTTTCTGTTTACAACTTCATTTAGATGATCAGTTTTGAAGACTATATCAGCATTTTTTAAAGCAGCCCAGCAATATTTTGGTCTTTTAAAATTTATTCATTAGGTATTGCATTTCTCCTTTATCATTGCCCTGAGAGAGACAAGGAAGTAGACTGAAATTAAAACATACCTTCCAGAATAGGTCACATTTTTAAACATGCTGAACTGAAGAGTGTGCTTTTAGAATCACATTTGGGACAATTTTGCAACCTGAATTTATTCTCATTTGTGGCATCTGTTACCATGGATACACCTATAAATACCAGATTTCAAATTGTGCTGCTTTGGGGGGTGATACATTTAATCTTCTTCTTATGTCCATTTACCACAGGCAAAATCTAGATTTAAAATAAATCATCTTGAGGCTTAGCCGCACTTTGGGATTAAGTGAAATAACTGATAATATGCCTTGTATTGTGTCCATCAGCGTTGTAGATCTTACTATTTATTTTTTCCCATTGTTTGAAGTGCAAAAATGCACTTACAGTATCAAGTGTGTATTAGAAAGAAATAAAAATACTTGAAAGTCTGAATCATGCGGTCTCTTGCTTTTTTAAGTAATTGAATAGGAGGCATGTAGTACTTGTGTGAGTCAGAAAGAAAATATTAAAAGTTATATCGCATGATGCTGATCTGTAAGGGAAGTACAGGTGTAGTACACACTTTAATGCCTTTTGCAGAAGAGTTCTTTGATCCTGGATATATGCTGATCATAAATGGCACTCATTTTGACATTACTGAGCTTTGGAGTTGTGCAGAAGAATAAAACACTGAGGTTGGCGTTGATAATAAAAGGAAAAAGTGATGCAGTTCTTGACCCCTTGGAAGAGTGAGGCCTTTTCAAAGACACAGTTATGTGTTCAGCATTCACACAGGTGTCCCTCTGCCTATTGTAAACTAAGAGAACAAAAGAGACTGCTTAGATAAGGTCAAGGGAGCAGCATTCCTCTGTGTTTACAGCACATTGTTTATGACAGTGCTGGAGAGTAGATGCTTGAGTTATTTCACATTGACTTATAAAAAACAATGCAAACTATGCCTTCAGATTTTGCAGAGTGATTTCTCTCTCTGACACTGAAAATGGAAATCACCCTCGTCCTTTGCCTCAGTCTTCTTTAGCAGCACTGGTGCAATTCTTATGAGTAGACGAATATAGTAATTTTTTATTAACTAAATATTAATCTGAATTTTGGACTAAGGAGCTGGCATTTCTACAGGTTTGAGGACGATGTCATTTTGGAAATGTGTATCATTCCTCTTGCAAAGGCCAGCATCTCTTAAAGCTGGGCTCTTAATTAGGTCTCTAGAGGGTCACGGGAAGAAGGTTGGATATGCCTGAGAGAATTTAATGACAAGATTGTACCCTCAGTGAATCTGTGTCAGAAAAATAAAGTTTGTGAGGAAGAATAATTCTCTAGGACTATACTTTTAATCAAATTTCTAAAATTCATTTTATAACTGTAAAAATGCAAAGGGAATAGAAAATCTATTCTAGTAATGGTGTCTCAAGTTCTTCTAAGTGTTCTGAAGCTTTTTTGCCTCCATACTTACCATACTCAAATTATTCTCCATTAAAATTATACTAATCTAGTATCAAATTAGAGGAAGGCTGTGAGAAGGAACTAGAACTCAGATACACTGCTGAAAAGCTAAAAAACAGTACAGACTCTTTGGATAATACCTGAAACTTCCTGCAGCTCCTGTATATGCATGGCTTTTGGTCTGGCAGTTCTATTTTTATACATGTACTCAAGGGAGATAAATGCACATGTTCACAGGGGACTCAGATATGAATGATGTTGATAACTGTATTTTTAGTAGCAAAATACTAGAAATTTATTTTTATTTTTATTTTTTGCAAATACAGGAGACTGAAGACAGAGCCTTCATATTGATACACCCCCAACTCCTTCAAATATTTTATTTTTTAATTATTATTATTATTATTATTATTATTATTATTATTTTTGGTTTTGAGACAGGATCTCAGTAAGTTGCTAAATTTCCCTGGTGGAGCTCAAACTTGTAATCATCCTGCCTCAGTCTCCCAGAGTTTTGGGATGACAAGATGCATCACCACACCCAGGAACACTAGAAACCTTAATATACATACAAGGAGGAAGGCTGACACACAGATTGTGGCATACCCAGGCAATTTTCAGCAATATACAACGCAAACTGTGATTGAAGCCATAATATAGGTGCACCAGAGTTAAGCTGTTGAGCAAAAAAATCAGTCACAAAATCATATGAATTTGAAGAACAGACAAAACTAATCTATAGAAGCCAGAATATTGATTATCATTGATGGAAAAGGATATTTAATGAGATAAAGAAATATAGGAGCATTCCAGAGGATGAAATGTTCTGTATTTTGATCTGGGTAACTTTGATAAGTAAATCTTTATCCAGGTGCATACTTAAAATATAAGTATGCATAGAAATTATACCTCAATTAAAAATGACCAATGCATAATAGCAGTGGGACAAATTCCCCTACTAAAACTCCTTTAACTTGCTATGAGAATTGAGCTGAATTGAGTAAAGAAAGACCCTCATGTAGGCTTAATGAATATATTTTAAAATGGTAATTGTGGAACAAATGAGTACATGAAAGTAGGATTAGTCAATTTCAAGGTTATTCTCTAGTAAGTAAAGAAAATAACACACACACACACACACAAATAGCAAAGGTCTTGTAAACACACTCTTACCATCTGCTCTACTCTGGTCTTCCAGCGGGAGTTTTGCAATGTTTAAAAAACCCTTTTGCAGGTGCCAGATGGAGAGGCCTATCTCCAACTTTGCCACTTACATTCACATTGGCACCAAGTCTCCAAAGGAGTGGATTACCTAAAGGATCCATTTATTTTAAATTAATGTCAAAATGTAAAAACAATAATACAAAGCTTCTGGCAGTAGAGAATATATATCATTAGGACATTCTCTTAGGTTCTTTCCACCCTTAAATCAATAGAAAACTTTAGTGCAACTGCCATGGAAAAAAAAAAAAAAAAACAGAAATTCCAATTGCAAGTTTAGGATAGACTATAGACTGCTTAGTAACAGTGAGAATGTAGCTACCTCCCATCATTCTATTTTGCCATGCTTAACAAATTGGATAACTTCCCAAATGGTAGCAAGACAGTGAAACAACAAAACAAAGTCCCCAGAATAGAGCTGACTGCGTTAAATCTACCTTTGGTAAAACAGGACGTCTTTTTATAAACCTAGCTATTTATTCCTAAAATCCTCTTCAGGATCCATCTCTCATATCACTTTGGCTTAGATCAGGAAATTTGCAACTTTCTAGTTCAATGCCTGTGCAAGGGGAAATGTTTACTCTGAGTGGCTTGGTCCGATTAAAATCTAAAACACTGGACAGAGACTAGGAATGTCTTTCTTAAACGTAACTTCTAAGAAAAGGCTGAATGATGGAATAAAACCACAGATACGCACAAAGGAAAAGTATGTGGCATGGAGTGGTAACAGAAGGAGAGTTTTGTCTCAGCAACCGTTGATACCTGCTGCCAACACTATTATACTTAAGAATTTCTTTCCTCACTACTAGGAATTGAACCTAGTTTCAATTGAGAAGCAGCCTGGTATAGGATTGAATTGAGGTCCAAAGTGAGAAACTCCTGAAATTAATAATCTGATTTGTATTAGCTGTGTAACCTTAAGAAAACTGGCCAGCTAATCTCAATCTAAGTGTCATCATTAGATAAAAGACTAATAAGACAACTCAGAGGATATCATGCAAATCAAATGAGCTAATTTAGTGAAAGAGTATAACATACAGAACATGTTCTCTAAGTGTTTTTATACTTTCATAAACTGAGATATTATTATTTACTATTTCTGTTTCATAATTATTCTGAGGAGTAAACCAATTCTGACAATATATTGAAAGAGTTAAAAAAGAAAAATCTCTATAGTTTTCTGCTTTGAAAACCTATGCGTGCCATTTATTTTCTTTGATATCAAATCTTGTCAATTCTATAACATAGGTCATTGTTGTACATAAATAATTCTCTTGAATAATCTTTTTCAATCTAGCCAGAACCATGGACAGCTTATCTGGTTCTTGATGTGCGCTGCAGCTCCATGCACGGGCCGGTGCTGATTGTCTTTATACTGGAGATCTGCATCCTTCTTTTGAATGCATGAAGAAGAGATAGTCACAGTAGGTCTGCATTTCCCCCAGCTGGCTAGCGGCTCCTGTCCAAAAGGACAGAGGGCGTGAAGTGTTAAAGCATTCAGCCCTGCCTTTCTAGGGTTGTTTTATATAATTAATGAGATTCCACTGAGTCATTTACATGTGTAGTTAGGTACTTAACCAATTGTTTCTCTAAACCTCATTACATCCCCTGAAAATTTCAAGCATCACCTCAGTGATATTGAGGTGACTTGCAATATGTGTGTCATTAAAATAACAGGTAAGGAAGGCCCCTCAATTGTCCTGGCCACTGAAGTGTCAACACAAAAATGAATTCAAGCAGTAGAACTATGTTGACATTTCAATCAACAAATAAACATGTATTGGTTAGGAACTTCTCAAGAACACGACAGGTTACAATGACAGGTATTTATAGAAATTCTAGGCAAAGCATTACCCAGACGGGTTACAGTGAAGATGATCAATTTCCTACTGAATGTAGAAAGTTAAGAGCAAGAATTCTAGAAGCAGGCAGAATCAGGCTTCTGTTTATTAACTATGTCACCTTGAACAAATTAACACCCCGAAACCTCACAAGTGGAAATGATAACCATGCAAATGCATAGCAATATACTAGGAATCAAAGAAGTCATTCCATATAAAGCACTCAGAAAAGTGCTTAGCACTCAATTCTAGGTTCTACAAGCAGCATATGCATTTCATTACTTTGTCGGTTAATGGATAGGTCAAAATTTAATTCATGAGACTCAGAATGGTGGAAGTTTAGTCTCAAGAACCTTGCTCTCCTAAGCAAACATTTCCACTTACACATGCTCTATAAAATCTGATTATATAACTTTATAATGGACAGATTTGAACTGTCCCTAAAATCGACTGTCTATTAAGCATGATTTTATACACCTAGAAAACATTGCTATTGGTGCGCACACCTATTCTTCCACTTAAAAATAAGTAAATAAACAAAAGGCAAAGAACATGGCACATTAGGCACATTTATATAGCGAATGTACCATTTTACTTGTCAGCATATTTTAGCAAGTGACAATAGCCTCCATAAATTATTTATGTGCTGCCTTCCCACACAGAAAGTGAGGTCCTTATCATAAAAGGGCCATCCATATGTTAGCATAATTTGGTAGGACTGTGACTGTGTTTGCAGGGAAAGTAAACAAATTTAGTTTCCACCCATCATGAGTAGAGGCTCTGATTCATTTTTTGCTGGGTTGTGAGGTTAATTACCAAAGAAGATGATTCTACAAGCTGCGTTCATTGTCTTTGTCTATGCCTGAAGTCAGAGAAGTGGGGAATTTTTCCGTCACTTGCACTTTTGGACTTCAAACTGTCAAATCCATTTCCAGTGCCCAGGCCTCCCGTGTACTCTGAGAAGCCCATCAGTGAAATGAGTAACCACTCCTAGCTTAGACCATGCTCCTCTGGTCTGAGACACCCAGCCTATGCCTGAAAACCGAGCAAAAAAGGCACATGGATGAGAACAGCGCAGGCACAAAAGAATATTGGAATTCTTAGGACAACCAGGAAGTTAAAAGCGTATTTCTCCAAAACTGAATTACCTGAGGAAGATGAAATTGAGAAGAATGAAAATGGGATGGCCAAAGATGCGTGATCTTTGCTTATTCAACTTCATTTATATTTGTATTTTATTTAGTTCTTTCCAGTTTACTAAGAATAACTCAAAAGCAATGTTCAAAAGTGGTAAAGAAAAATGTAGACTTTCAATATTTGAAAGTTAAAAATCAATGAAGTTTGGAGTTAAAACACATTTGATTCTGATGTTGCCACTTGAGCAAACTGGCTGGATTCTATGATTTGTTTCAGTGACTGAATAGAAATCAGAAAGAGTGCTTTAGCACAACTGAATGAACTGGGCTTTAGTCTTGGAAAGATTTGAGTACATATTCTAGCTCTTTTACTTATTAGCTCTCTGTCTCTTGCATGCTATCTGACCTGAACCTTGTATGTAACATTTGGTAAGAAGGGGCATGTAACAGATCATTTCAGAACTGTGGCAAAATTAGTAAACAATATGATAATGAAATATTGTGTTTCTTTTGGAACCTTCTATTCCTTTATTTCATTTGTACAAATTCCCCGTGTTTCTTAGCTTGTAGCCCTTTTCTGTCATCACATTTCCCATTTCTCATATAAGGACTGTTGAATATCATCAGCTCTAACATATAATCTCAGAAAATCTCCCAATCTCAAAATATTTAACTTGATCACATTTGCATAGCATCTATGAAAGTGACATTCACAACTTCCAGAAATTAGAATGTAAATCTATTTCAGAGCAATCAGCCTACAACATCCCATGACTGTAACAAAGAGAAAAATAAAGGTTCTAAACAGTACCTTTGGTCAGAGAGCTGCAGGAAGGCTCTTTGTGGTTTGTTTTGTTGAGTTTGTGAGTAGTATTATTGCAGTGACATATATTAAGCATTGCCCAAACATTTGACTTATATCCCATCACAATAGCATTCCTGAAAGGTGCAGAAATAGAGAGATCAGAGAGTTTATATAATCTATACATAATCATAAAGCTAGGTAGGAGTTCTTCAAATTCTGGTTGCCTGATTCCATGACTGCATGCTTACCAATGTATTCTATTCCCTTCTTTCGACACTGATAGTCTGTCAGTTACAATGTTTATATGGTGTATAAGGGTCCCCAAAACTAGAGCTGGTGGAAATATTGCAAAACAAATAATATTTTAAATATCTTTCTTTGAAGATAAGAATTCAAGAAAAAGCCTAGCACACTCGAGCGGTCCCTAAGGCTTCAGGCCTTGCTATCAGATTTAACTGGGCCTGTTATACATTGCCATGTGCAATGGAGTGGAACTGAACAGTGTCCTGAGCATTGACATTTCCTCCATGTTGGAGTAACAGCAGCCTGGCCAAGGAAAATACCTTGGTTAGGAGCCTCATTTGGGTCATCTGCTCATCAAAGTTTATTTTATGCACCACCGTGTATAACTCTTAATCAGAAATTCCATCTTAAAACACAAATTTATTCCATCTTCCTTCCCCAAAACTTCCAATATCTTGCTTAAATCTATGGGGACGAAGACCCTTTGTAAGACATCTAAGGCTCCTCAATCTGATGGTATACTTTTAAATGTATTTCCCAAATCTGTAGGCGGATCAGCATCCAGTTTCCTATTCATTTGTGGCTGTGTATATAATACGTTCACTACAGAAATTTCCTTTGTTGAAATAAAAATATTTTAGCCTTTGTTAAAATGTCACTGCCTCCAAAATTTCTTGTTTGCCTCCCTTTATTGCCATTTTCTTGGCTTAAATTAAATCTTCTGCAAAAATCTCATACAGATTTCATTGGTGCCATTTAGAATATTTTTCTATTTGTACACATCTCTTATCCTTAATAAAGAGCAAATTGAAGACAAGTATAGAATAGATCATCTTTATATAGCACTGTAGCATGTTACATGCAGATACTAATAAAGAAATGTTTGTTGAGTGCACAAAGAAAGGAGCTAGTAAGTGGCATACACTACTGGGAACTGTTGGCTAGCTGTCTTCATAGAAAGCCATAGGCTAGCAATTTTAGGGAGAAGAAAAGAATTTTTCTCTTACCTATTTTAAGTTTACTGTCTAAGCCCTAAAAAGTAGCTTAGCAAAGACAGATGAATAGG